CCCCAAAACCCCAAAACCCCAAAACCCCATATTACATAGATATAATTGAAAAATATTTTAGATTATATTATTTCTTTCAATTTTGAGCGCAACATTCTTACCTTTTCATTGGGAGTTTCGACAGATGAGACTCACTGTTCTTTTCATTAGTATTGGTCCGGTTCCTAACCATGCCTTCATTAGCAAGAACTTGGTTTCTTGGAAGATACTTGCTTATACCTTGGCAAGAGCTAGGGACGTACAAAGTCTTCCGCTTAGTTTTACATCTATATTGTGAGCATAATTGTACCTATTGAATACTTCTTTGATTTTAACAGCTACCATCCAGGAAATGCTGATCAATGACACTACCAAGGCTGAAGCAATCACAGTGGTGGTCATGACTTCTTCCTTCATGTCGTACTTCATCACGAAGTCTTTAGGCCCACTGCTGTCTGATGGAAGTGCAAACGTGCATATTATCAGAAATAGAAACACAAATTCGTTGAGAACCTCAATCACATTGTTTTCTGTCTGCTTAAAAGGCCTAGCAGGTATGATATATCCTAGAAAGACAAGCTGCATCACCAACAAGATGCTTTCTTGCACGTAAGTAGCTGTTTGGCTTCGGTATCCAATAAAGGCTGCAATCACTCCAACCATCATGAATCTTCGAAGCATGAAAATGAGTTGGTAATAATAAGCAAGTTTGGATAAGAGGTGATGCGAGTGATAGATCTTGAGACCACTTCTTAATTCTCCAAATTTATTAAAATTCAGTCTCCTACTTACAATGTTCATCTCGTTGAGCTCAAAATTTGATATTGCTGCTGAATCCTTGTCAGCAACTTTTCTTCTTGAAGTTTTTAACTTGATGTAAATGATAATGGTAAACGCCACATAAAATATGATCGATAAGATTGCAAACACGTTGGAAGCTACCCATCCTCCGAAGGGCTTTCCGTCTTTAATTTTGTGGTATAGACCAATTGTCTCGAGCACTGAGTTGAGAATCATGAATAAGGCCATCTCAAATATAACTCTGATGTAGAAGCCAAATGTCAACCCTTCATAAATCCTGACAACTCAAGAAGTCGATCATTTCAGCATTCTTTTATCAGTGTGATTGTAGATGGGTGTTGATACCATGTGAAATAGCACACCCAACATAGCGAACAGAAATGTGGTGTTGTAGTTTATGAACACGCTGAAGTAGTCAAAGCCTGTGTCGTTGAACTGCTTCAGCACTTTGTTTTCGCTACCGAACCACTTCTTTAAATATTCAAAGTACTCATCTAAGAGCGGCACCAGAGGCCTGAAGTCGAACATCATCACCTGGAAACCGACAAGTGTCTGCGTGTATTTGTATGGAATCATCACTTGCAGACAGATAAGCAGCATCAAGTTCTGGAAGTGATTCACAATTTTCCAGACCACTTGAGTATTGGCTTGATTGCCTACCATAGATAATACTGTCACTGCCGCAAGTTGGGCCTAAAGTTGAGTTAATATCTTACTCCGACAGCTCCTTGCACTACCTTAGTTGAGGTATCGCTGAACGATGAAATCTGTCTGACTATACACGAATTTTGCTCGGAATCAAGCTCGTACTCTGGGTATGCTCATTGTGTTCACTGAACATTGCCTAACGAATCAATTTGGCATTGTTCACAGTTTTGGATAAGTGATCAATTTCTGATAACCAATTGGAGTGAACTTCTAATTAAGTTTTGGCCATCAGGAGCAATCACATCATACTCGTGAGTTTGGTTACCTTGTTGGATCCCTGTAACGCCCACAATCCCAGAAGAGCTTACAGAAGCATTCGCGTAAATTCCTGAAATTTGTTCGACCTATTTAAAATAACACATTTGTAGCATAAGTAAGCAACTAATAAAGTACTTACTCTGGTCTCATTGTCTAACAGCCTGTATGTCAATGTAGAAGAGGCTCCAACCACGCAGGCTTGTGGACTCAAGTTGAAGGATCACTCTTCACCTTGGAGGCAGTAGAATAAGTCCGTCTGAGGAAAGAAGTAGTACTTCTGAGCGACGCTTATTCCAATTTTGGCAACTATAAAACTTGCTCCTAGATCCACAAGAGCTTCAGTTCCTGAACTCACAGTGTAAGCAGATAGCTATTTCATCAATTCTCACTACTTACCGTGATTGGTGTGATGAAAGTTGGTAAGCTTGTTATGTTAGATATTGACCACGAAGCCGTGGAAACAACGAAATTCAGAACAGATTCTTCAATATCGTTGAAATAAGGAAGCCTCGTTTTATAATAAACACCAAAAGAAATGCTTGAAGAGTCCCTATAAGTCCCTCCAGCATACATGTAGTCGCCTACTATGTGTTCAAACCTCATTCTGAAGTCATTCTCCGAAGAACTGATACTGTATTGAGAAATGATGGATAGAGTATCCTTCCTTATGTAGAAGATCTCACCATCCGAAGTGATCAGCATGAGCTTCCCGTCATAGAGCCTCAATCTTGGAGGTGAGTCTGATGTGCCAATTCCATTTATCATGTAGGAGGTTTCTGAAGTCCCATCTTCATTGGCGATCTTATACAGGAAAGTTTTCTTCACTGTATTTGAAGTATTATGATATATGTTGACAACATACACCTTGTTAGTATCCCTATCAACCATAATTCACGAAGGAATCGTCTCTGAATTGTCAAACTCCAAATTCCAATGAGCAATATTTAGAGTGTCACTGAAACTTTCAAAAGATTCACTTTAGACGAGCCTGCAAACAAAATAAGCAAGTTGGTGTTTTCACATGGAACTGAAGCCTGGGCTCACCACTTGGTTGCCAGAGGTCCTACACTCATTATACAAATAGTACCTGTGTCGTAGTCTGCATGCAGCCACAATGCCTCTGTTACCAAGTTGGTCTCCTTTGAATACAACAGATTTAAATCAAAGTCGTAGACCAGAAGAATTAAGAACCTGTTAGTGTTGCTTTGAGTCAGAACTACACAGTTACACATTGGCTTACGAATTCGGAAGTCTCCATTATCATCGAAGAAGGTCAGTTCTATAATTCATCCAAAATTCCGATACCTCTGACATAGCCATAATATGTAGGAACACGCACATGGTCGATCTCAGTGCAGTTATCTACAGAGAATTTCTAGGAGATTATTAAAGACTTACCCTGAGGACACCTCTTCTGCTCGCATTGGCTGTGTTGTAGTTCTGCACAACAAATAGAGTGTCGTTGAATATAAGAGATTCATCATAAACTCTGAGGTTCCAAAAGTTTATAGTGGTAGAGCCTAAAAGCTAATTACTACATCATCAGTCATAAAGCCAAGCTGAAAAAATTTACTTACAAAGCTGAGTTGTGGCACTATTATCCATTCTTTTGATATAAACTTCATCTCGATTCGGGTTATATTGCATTATCATAACATCAGAGTTAGGATCTTGGCGGTTCACAGGCTCTGCAAACGGGATATAAAGATGCTGACTATTCACAGTTTCATTAAAAAACAGCAAGTCTGGACTTAGTCCCTGCGGCCTCTTGCTCAGCAGTACATTGTTGAGCAGCCATTCTTCCCAGGAAGACTAACCAAAGTAGAAACATCTTTCTAAGACAAATCTGGAGCATATTTTTAATCACCATTATTTAATAATTTCATTGGGAAATAAATAGCTAGGGGTTTTGGGGTTTTGGGGTTTTGGGG